GACAACCCAGATGGCTGTGTAGACAGCAGCGCCGATAGGAAAGGCCGCAGAACCGCCGCGGGTGGCCGTAACCTGCGGACCCAGGACACTAGCGCTCATGACTATGCACATAGCGAAGGCCTCGCCGGCAAATATGCGTACTGCCGTCCGAACTTCTTCGAGGGAGCAGAAGAGTTGCATGGTCTGTCAGGATGCGTGGGGAGGAGTAGGGAGGAAGGCAGTAAGAACAAAAAGTCACTTTAGTGCGCAGCATTCTACTTAGCAGACTCGCATAAATACTTCTATCCCAGCTCACGCTTAACGAAGAGGAAATAACGACATCAGCAAGAAAGGTATAAAGCAGGTTTAGACATTATTAGATTAATAATATGACGGTTCGCCGGTCGCAAGTATGACGCACGTGACAAATAATAACAAATGATTAAAATATTTTATGAAGCTCAGGCAGCCTCGTGTACAAAAGCTCCAGGAGACCTCTAGTAGAGCAGTTGTGAAAATGGCAGCCCGCAGCTAAGGTCATTGAGTGAGCTGGGTTTATCATGTAGCCGAACAGCGCTACTATCCTGACTTTTTCTCCTTCTCCTCATATTTTCTTTTCCCTGCTTCTTCCTTCTTTGCATTCTTCAAAGTTAAATTCTCATGCATGAACTGCAGACTTCTTCAACTAGGTAGGAGATAAGTGAAAGCCTAAAAGTCCGACGATAAGGCAGAAAAAAGAGGTTTGTCAATCGAAGGGATAACTAGGAGCTTAAAAGCATTCGCCTATATTTCCTTCAATAAACTGATTCTGATAGGGCTTCCTCAGGAATAGGAGCAAGGCTGCGCTTACTCCATGTTAGTGTGGCTTATATGCTATTATCCGCAACTTAAGCTGCGAGCCACCCTATAATGGCCTGCTTTATGCCGTGGAAACCAGCATCTGTGTGGGCCGCGTTGACGTAAATTTTTAATTTGTTCGTCACCGCGTCCGAGCTCGTTTCCGCAGCTCGTAAAATTGTCCTACCATCGGAACAAGATAGGCTAGAGTAGAAGGAGATAGTGTGGTAGATGCTGCGGAAATCTGCTCCAGCATGAAATGCTTCGCACACGAGTCGTCGTTACATCGCATATTCCATGAGGAACCCAATGGATTCTCTCGTCTTCGACGATCGAAACAACAATCGATATTTGGGCGATTTTCCTTTGTGTGGTAGTAGCGCATAGTTATTCCTTAGTAATTTAAATATAAGTATGTTTCTAGACCCAAGAGATGTTAAATCCTGCGGTGCTCAGCATCGAATTTAATGTTATCATCCTCCCTCTCACCCCGCCTTATATGCAACTCAAAAACCGAACGAACAGACTAGCTCCTGGCTGCCTACTTTCTGAAGGACAACACTTTCCCCTTATTGAAACATGGTTAGCTATTGGTCCGTTTATCAATGATCACGGTTCGTTGTGGCATTTTTCTCGGTAATTTATTTATACAGTACGGCTACAAATTTGGATAACATGCCCATATTTGCGAAAGATTGATACTCACTCGCTAATGGGCATTAAGGTAAGTTGTAGCCCATTCTAAAGTCATTTCAGTCGCAATATCTTATGGAGAAAATATATGAAACATTTTTTTTCTTGTACTCGTTTGGTAGGAAATTACGCCTATTTTAAAGTCCATACTCAAAGGAAGGATGTCTTTAGGTTTTAAAATTTTTTTCTAAATTACCGAATAAGTTTGAAAACTATTGACTGCTACATCTGAATTTAAGGCCTTAATCTGTACGCTGTGTAGACTCTGTTTAAGGAAAAGTTAGCTTTTGCTTATGGCCTGAGGAAGAAGTCACATAGTCCTCATAAAATATTCCAATCTGTGTGGATCATGGTGTATAGATTATAGGCAGCATTAATAAATTGATGGATACGATGAAGCATGCACGTATGTCGCGCAATCTTAAAAAATCTCATCAATGCATATTTTTTTAAAACCGCAGAATACAATTTAAAGAAGTCAGCATTTCCTACCCAAAGAGTACAGGAGAGAAGTTTTTCGTATATTTTTCCATAAAATGTATTTAGAATTTATAAGGGCACTCAAAATCAATTTTTAAAATGCATACTATTTAAGTAACCATCTTTAAAGTGCATAGTTTTGTTAGCCGTCAGAAAGAAGCTCGTTAAAAAACGGATATCATATTGTGACTGAAATGAGATCAGAAGAGGCTACACGATAATCAGTATTACAAACTTACTCAATGCCGATTAGCGAGTGAATGTCAATCTTTCGCAGATGTCGGCATGTTGCAGGAATTCTGAGCCGTAGTATATTTTTTAAAATTAAATTTGGAGCGGGACTTTAGTGAGGTCTGATACAGAACTAAATATGGCTCTGCCCAGGCCTCATCTTTGATAATTACCGTCAGTTTATCTAGAACTGAGGCGCGCCGCTTCGCCTTTGCTGCTTATATGATTAGGTCTTTGACTATTTGGGAGTCTTAAATTTCCCCTCCAATTAAATTTATAGAATATCTCCTGGGAGATCTGTCTACAGTAGTCCTCGAAGACTCCTAACTAGCCGCTAACGCCCGGAGCATTCCTTTGCTACTGATTCTCCCCTTGCACAGTATTTTTATTTTTTGGTAATCTTCATGTTTTTGAAAAATTGCATTCTCAAATCTTGGCAACAAACGAAATAGCTGTTCTATGCGAAAAGACAGCTGCTCAGTTTCCACCAAGCAATCACGAAAGTTAAGTTCAATTAGAAAAAATCTGATATAAAACTGCACAAATTTTTATATGGCTCAAATTTATTCCCTTCTTCTTTTAAATTCCACTTTGAGAAGGTTTTTTGGCCGCAGACATATCATAAACTGTGTATGGCACAAAGCATCGCTAGCATTGAATTTTGAACCGGAATAAGATCAAAGGTGCTAGCTGAACTTCCAGCGCAATGTGCCTCCTGTGCATAACAAATGAATGTTACCATGTTGTAAAAAATAACTGTATATCGGATAAAACTGTTATTACTTCATTTTCTGCATGATCAAAGTCATAATAATCCTCTATCATCTGTGAATAGAACGAAATACCTGATTGGACCGATGCAGAAGCTTGGTGTGTCTTTTATCAAAGAAACCAGCGACTTACTATGCAGTGGTAAGGGAGCTATTGAAAATACCCTAAGCAAGCGTGAAAAGCCTACATTCTAGGCACTAGCTCATCAAATGCTCTCCGAAGTTTTGAAATGTGTATTCGAGCAGAAAATATTTTTAAAATAGGGTTTCAATACTAATTGTCGCCCCACCTCACCCCAATAACTTTCAGCCACGAACCTTCTTCCAGCAGCCCAGGAAAACTACGCTTTACAATAAATGACTACCTGAATAATATTTATTTTTCCCTATTAATTTTCGATAACCTTATACATTTAAATAAATTTTATAGAAACTACGCACAAAACACTCAATCCGTTTATTTATTTGGTAGAAAGGTAAGTCTTCTTAATCTCAATAGCTAACGAAAGGGTAAATTTGGATATTTAAAAAAGGTAGCTTATTATGAGACCCTTACCCTCCTATCAACTGAATAAGAAAATTACAGCTTGTCGCTAGCAGTGCTTACCCCATGATTCAGTTTGTAGAACACTTAGTTCAAACACTGAAAAGACTTATATTCAAAGTTCAGACCTCCCAGATCTAGGATGTTTGATATGGCTGGTTAATAGCTGATAGTTTTCATAAATGAATACTCCTGCCTGTCGGTATTGCTCCAAGGCGACACAGAATGCTCTTCTTCCATCGTCAATACAACATTGGTCGGCTGAGACTAATTTCTTAAAATCCATTAAAAAAATCAAAGTCTCTTTAAAATAATCAGGTATCTTCCACAAATATCTGTCTTACGCACAAAATCCCGTATATAGTTTAGACTTACAAACGAAAAGCTTTCCAATAATTATTTCTGAAGTGTGTATTCACCTCGGAATGTTGGCTATTTATATTTTTCAGATAGCCAATAGAATTTTCTTTCAGGCCTGCTAGCGAAAACGAGAAGCTTATTCGTAGAAGATTTTGCTACTGCTAATGCTAAAACGGTGATTTCAGCAAAATTGTCCAACAAAACCCTCAAAATGCCTAAATTTAATGAATACCAGCGATCGCGGACCTTTAAAGAACTCTTCTATAATGATAATCAAACAGTAAAATCTACGCTGTTGGCCACCGTACAACACCCCTTTTAGGTATTTCACATATTTCAAGATTAAAATCAAAAATTGAATTATCGCATGCCTTTGCTCAATTTTGTGTCAAGTGACTGGATTCATGTGAGTTATGTGAATATATGTAAATGGATAACCAAACCCGATTCCCGAACTAGTGGCACAGTCTGCTGAAAAAAAAATTGATAATTGAATTTCCTTCTTCAAGCAGTCGTAAATAAATAAATGGGCCATTTGTAATTTTAGAATGCTCAATGAATTAAACTGCCGTCATCAAACGGGGCGCAATCAAGGGACGTTTGTGTGTCAATAACCTGTATTCTTTCTTCATTAAAACCAAGCTGCAGTAAATTCCCTATCTTACGAACTGCCAACCGAACATGTGAAATGCGTTTTCGATTCGAAAATATGGATGAAATATGGTTGTATCAGTAGTCATCGCATAACCTACTCTCAATATATATATAGGCCAGGTCAAGATGCCGGCTTTTCAACTAGCTTTTTTAAAACACCTGCAAAATGCATGTAATTTTGAAAGTGGCTACTAACGTAATATACATGTTTCTCATTGCCTCCTAATACCCCTGAAAATTCAAATATTTTAGTGGAAAAAGTGAAAAAAAATATTCTTCATTGTGCTCGCCCGGTAGCAAATTGCGCCTTCTTCAAGTTTTATACCTACAGAAAGGTTATTCTTCGGTTTAAAGAGACTATAATAATGAGCCTTTTTACGGCCGTTAAATGTCCATTCATAAAGAAAATTATTTGTTCATTAACTAACGCTGGTTCTCAATTATATAAATTGTTCTGTATCCATTGCAAATTTTTGAGACCTATGTAAGTCCTTTCTCACACTCTAGGAAAATATTTGCTTTTCCATAGACAGAATATATACATCACGTTTTTTGTAGTCCTTGACTTCAAGTATAACTGCCGAAAAGGGTTCAATATATTTTGGGAATATAGAAATTACTTATAACCAGAA